GGACGGTGTTTGAACACCAGGACCTCGAAGAGCACACAGCATCAGTGCTGTCATATATTAACTTCTGTACCAACAGTGTCATTTGTTGACAAATGTCTCCGGGTGTATTCCAACCAGAAACCTTGGATGACTAAAGAGGTCCAGGTGCTGCTGAAGCAACGTGATGCTGCTTTCAAATCCGGTGATGGTACGCAGTACAGTGCAGCCAGATCTGAGCTGAAAAGAGGGGAGGGGGACAGAGAGGGCAAGGCAGCGTACAAGAGAAAGATTGAAGACCACTTTAGCAACAACAACTCCCGACAGGTATGGAAGGTAGTTCAGCACTTAGTCAACGTGATATTGTCAGGCTTGTAGTTGGTTGAGGGCAATGCGGCGCTTGCAGACCACTTCTCTGCACGCTTTGAAGTGAAGGGACCAGAGGCAGCAGCATCCTAAGCCTCATGGTGCAGGAATATAAGGTGAGGCGCACACTGAGGGCAGTGAACCCCAGGAATGCTGCCGGTCAAATTGGGGTGACCGGAAGGGTCCTAAAAGAATGTCTAACTGGCTTATGTCTTCACTAAGATCTTCAACACTTCACTGTCCCAATCCTGCATCCCACTGGGCCTAAAGTCGGCCACAATTGTCCCACTGCCTAAGCGGACCAACATTAGCAGCCTCAATGACTACCGACCAGTTGCTCTAACGCCTGATATAATGAAGTGTTTCGAGAAACTAGTCTGACATCACATCATGTCCTGCCTGCCACCCACACTCGACCCGCTCCAGTTCGCATACAGAGCTAACAGATCAACTGAAGATGCCATTGTTACAACGCTCCACACCACCATCTCTCACCTGGAACAACAGGCTGCTCCTTGTTGACTTTAGCTGTGCTTTCAATACAATAATCCCGGACAGACCAATAATAAAACTGCTGAATATCGAACTTCCTTCAACTACCTGCTGCTGGATCAGAGACTTCCTGTCAGACCGTGTACAGAGAGTTAGAGTGGGGCCTCATCTTTCCTCAGCCTTAAACACCGGCTCTCCACAAGACTGTGTACCAAGTCCCCTACTGTACACTCTGTACACACATGACTGTGTCAGTACCCACCCAGACAACGCAACAATGCAGTGATTAAGTTTGCAGATGATACCACCATGGTGGGGCTCATCTTTGGGGAAGACGAGATGGCATACAGAGCTATATACGTGTACACACACACACACACACACACACACACACACACACAATGAGCAATGAAAATTTATCTAACCCGAGAATTTGGAGTTTACACTGTGGACTGGACAAGCCATCAGAAAGTAGCTTCACTGCTGAATTCTGCAGCTCGTTATAATTCAGGGACAGAGTTCTCAGACTGGACTGGGTGCTGAGGACTGATGAGAGATCCTGACAGCATGCGCTTGTGAGGCTGTTTTGGTCCAACCTAGATGTTAAAAGAAACAAATTTGGTTTTATTTAAGAAACTGAAATTGAAATAAGTCTTCCTTACAATAAAATAAACAAACACCTGAGAGTTTTCAGTTGACAGTTTGGATTCTGCAGTCCAGCACAGAGTGAGATCACTCCTGAATCTTGGAGGTTGTTGTTACTAAGGTCTAGTTCAATCAAATTACACAATGGGGAGTGAAAAACGTTTGCCAGAAATAAGCAGCTTCTCTCTGTCAGTTTACAGTCACTTAGTCTGGGGGGGAAAAACAGAAAGTTACAAATATTACAAATGGAAGTAATTTATGGGTTTTTTTTTCTTTCATGCTTCTATATATTGTTATTTATAAAAATCAACCTACAGAGCTGTGCTGGAGGTTTTGACCACTGGCAGTAGCCTCAGAACAGCCTCCTCTGAAGCAGAGTATTTCTTTAGATCAAACACATCCAAATTTTCTTCAGATGACAGTAGGATGAAGACCAGTGCTGACCAATGAGCAGGTGATAGTTCATTTGTGGAGAGTCTTCCTGACCTCAGTGATTTTTGAATTTCCTCCACTAGAGAACTGTCATTCAGTTCATTCAGACAGTAAAACAGATTGATGCTTCTCTGTGAAGAGACTTTTGTTATCATCTTTTTGATGTATTGGATCGTTTTCTGTTTAGGTTTTGAGCAACTTTCTTCCTGCCTTGGCAAACCTTGCAGGAGACTCTGGTTGGTTTCCAGTGAAAGACCCAAGAGGAAACGGAGGAAGAGATCTAGGTGTCCATTTGGGCTCTGCAAGGCTTTGTCCACAGCAGTCTGGTAAAACTTTGTAGCTGCGTTGTCCTTAAATAACAGTTCGGACAACTTGGATTTAGATTGTGCATCAGAAAGCAGATTGACTCCAGAGTTGATGAAGGTCAGATGGACATGAAGAGCAGCCAGAAACTCCTGAACGCTCAGATGGATGAAGCAGAACAACTTTTCCTGATACAGTCCTTTCTCCTCTTTGAAGATCTGTGTGAAAACTCCTGAGTACACTGAGGCTGCTCTGATATCGATGCCACACTCTGTCAGGTCTGATTCATAGAAGATCAGGTTTCCTTTCTGAAGCTGCTCAAAAGCCAGTTTTCCCAAAGCCTCAGTCATCTTCCTCCAGTATTGATATGTCTCAGCTCCTCCATCATACTTGACCTTCTTCACTTTGGCCTGAACCACCAGGAAGTGGATGTACATTTCAGTCAGGGTCTTGGGCAGCTGTCCTCCCTCTCTGGTTTTCAGCACATCTTCCAGAACTGTAGCAGTGATCCAACAGAAGACTGGGATGTGGCACATGATGTGGAGGCTTCGCGATGTCTGGATATTGCTGAGGACAATGCTAGCCTGTCGCTCATCTCTGAATCTCTTCCTGAAATACTCCTCCTTCTGTGGATCAGAAAACCCTCTGACCTCCGTCACCATGTGAACATACTCAGGAGGGATCTGATTGGCTGCTGCAGGTCGTGTGGTTATCCAGAGGCGAGCGGAGGGAAGGAGTTTACCACTGATGAGGTTTGTCAGCAGCACATCCAGTGAAGTCGACTTTCTGACATTAGTCAAGGTTTTATTTTTTTCAAAGTCCAGAGGAAGGCGGCACTCATCCAGACCGTCAAAGATGAACACAACTTGGGGCTTGTCATACTTGTAGGTTTCTCCTTTTGTTTCAGAAAAGAAGTGATGAAGAAGTTTCCTCAAGCTGAACTTTTTCTCTTTCAGCACATTCAGCTCTCTGAAAGTGAATGGAAATATAAACTGAATGTCCTGATTGGCTTTGTCTTCAGCCCAGTCAAGAGTGTATTTCTGTGTTAAGACTGTTTTCCCAATGCCAGCCACTCCGTTTGTCAGCACTGTTCTGATCGGCCCATCTCTTTCAGATGACGTTTTAAAGATATCTTCACATTTGATTGTCTTTTCTGTTGTGTCGGTTTTCTTAAATACTGCTTCAATTTGTCTGATTTCATGTTCATCATTGACTTTTCCAGTCTCTCCCTCTGTGATGTAGAGCTCTGTGTAGATCTCATTGAGGAGCGTTGGATTTCCAGCTTTAGCAACTCCCTCAAACAAAACCTGGAATTTCTTCTTCAGATTACATTTGACTTTCCGCTGGCAGTTCATTGTGTTAGTTTCTGAATTAAAAACCAAACAAACAAAAACAAAACATAAAACAAAACAGTAATAACACAGAGTGGAGTTTGCAGGAACAATGGCAAAAGTGATACAACCTCATTTTCAAAAGAGTTTAGACAGTGTGTAAAATCCAAATAAAAACAGAATCCAGTGATTTTAAATACATATTTGAGTACTGTATTTTTCAGGGGCACTTAAAATGCTTTAATTTTCTCAAAAATCGACAGTACGCCTTATAATCTGGTGCGACTTATGATGAATTCTGGTTGTACTTACTGACCTCGAACCGATTTTATGTGGTACACGGCGCTCAAAAATCTGTCAAAAATGTTTT